GCAGCCTCCCTGGAGGAGAGTTGCCCCCAAGTGTGGCCCATGCGGAGCAGCACAGCCAAGGACATGGCAGCCAGGCAGCACTGACAAGACTCTACCCTCACACCCCATTGCGCACAGTTGATGCTGCGGGGCGCGGGCAGAGGGCATGGCCACAATGGTGCTGCTGGGCTGCCTGGGTGATCTGCAGCAGGCCCTGGAGGTGGTGAGTAGCCCTGCGGGCAAGCAGGGTGGGGGCAGGGCAGGGGGTGGAGTGGGGCGGGGCCAGTTATCATTAAAACAAACTCTTATAATAACAAATTATTTGTTTTTTCATCCTTCTTTATTATGAGAAATATTACCTCAACATTTTCTGTGGCTACTTTGTTACAGTATATCTAACTTCCCTGTCCTTGAAAGGAACTGTTTATGTCTGGTGGTGAATGCTCAATTACAGGATTATATTAAAAATGCAAACAATGCACCAATTTAAAGATAAAGCCTTTCGGGAAAAATGCTTTTTAACCTACAAATTCAAACTGAAAACTTTGGTAAAAAAAATTGATAAAATAACAATAGTTCAAATCAACCTAAAGAGAATATCCCAACTTAAGCACTAGACTTATCATGGAAGGATTTGAATCTAAACTGCATTTAGCAGATTTAAAAGGAACTTGGTTTGGAAACTGCAAATTTGTTAAAGAAGTCTGAAAGAGATATGGATTCTACAGATTTGGAGTTAACAGTATCAATGAATAATGAACTGGACTTTCTTAAGAAGATTGATGGTGATTGGGAAATGGACTTGCTACACTTAACTGGAAAACAATTTGGACTGGAGTTTTTTGGGGGAAGATGGATCAAAAATAGAAGTTTATGATTCAGGAGAATAAGATACAATTGTTGGAAAAATTTCCAACCAAAATTTTAAGGAAAAATTTTCTTATTAAGAATAAATAAGGACATTTGATCCTGGGCAGATCAGAAATAATGATTGTGGTGATTTATGGTAGATAAGCCACTGCAGACTATCTATGAGTTAAATACAAAAATAAATTGTTAACAGAGGACTTTTAAGTTTAATTTTAATGTTGATTCACCTGTTAACTACTTTGCTTTTATATATAGTAGATAGATGACAGGTCAAATTAATTGCAAATAGCTGTTGAAGTTTATAAATTTTGGGCATGCTTCACAAGGGGAGGAAACTAATATTGTTGCAATATATTTATCAGCATTCAGCTGGGGGGACAATATATGTATATGTGATTTTGTTCTATATCCTTTTAATGCACATTCTGTTTTTTGTCATTTTTAATGTTTTCTCAAACTTTTGTTTTGTTTTTTACCATAACTTTCTGAATAAATATTTACTCAAAAAAAGTTATATAGAAAAATTTCTCATTGATATAATTTGAAATTAACAATGGGAAAACTGAAAAAACAAAAGGCAAAAGATTAATAATTCTAAAACAACTATCATAGTAGTAGAGCATATCACAACACTTTGAGAATAAGTATACATCTACAGTAACTATATTTTTAAAAGCAGTGTAAGGAAAAAAACTGAAAAAGCATGGTGAATTTGATTTTTTTACCATATCAGAAAATGCAAGTAATTTTTCTCAATATTAGTAAGATGGTAGTCACTATATAAGGTGGGATACATGTTATTGTAAGTTGCTATTTTGTGACTGAAACAAATTAATTGAGAAACAAAAGAGAAGTACTCAACATTCCACTAACACATACATTATTGCCCCCTATATGTGTGAGAAAACATTGTTGGGGAAATATAGCATATTAATACTTATATTTTATTATGGATCCACATTATTATAAACCAAGAAATGTATAATAATTCCTTCCTAGTATCCCCAGATTTGTATAAATTCCCAATTCAGTTCTAACTGTGGCAGCTCAAGTCCTTTATCCAAACCCAAAATACTTCTCAAATGTTGTTATAGTGTTTGTTCTAGTATTGATGTTTGTTTTAAGCCCCAAACTTCAGCTCAATATAAGAGCACTGGAGTAGACTTATATAAATTAATAATTAGGGATAAGGAATCTGAATAACTATGTTTATTTTTTTAATTTAGGGAGTAGATTCACTCCTGCTCTTGTTCTAAGTGAGTTTCTTTGATGATGAAGGAGCCAAGATCCAGCCTCAGAAAAAACTACCCCTAGGTAAGGAAAGATATTAACTTGCTTTATTGGCTCATCATATAATAGCCACCTATGGCTATGGTGTTGTTTTCCAAAACCCTTAATTTTTTTACTTTGATTTATTAATAATTAGAAATTATAACAATAGGAGCCAAGTCTTCTTAACAACCTACAGAATCCCAATTGTAAATATGACAGTAATATATTACCAGTGTATACTATTACAATGTATATAGTGTATGATGCCTTAGGCATGCGTTCTTCAGGATACTTCATTACTCTTAGTAAGTCAACCTATAGACTAAATAACAATGGTGCAGGTTGAAACTAAAAAAAAGTAAAGAAGGCAATAATTGAGGGGTCTTCACTACAGAAATGGGTGAGACATCTGTTCCAAATTTATGGAAACTATCTTCCTTGCTATTATTTTTTCCTAAAAGATCTGAAGCATTCATTCATTAATGTAACTGTGATATCATATTACTATAGTTGATGTATGAATTTGTGAATATAAAATATAGAAATATTAAAAAGTAGAAACATTGGAAAAATATTAAAATATAAAAATGCTAAAACCTTTATACAATAGAACAATGTTTCTTAAAGTGTGGTCCTAGGACCTAGGGGGTCTCCCAAGAATCTCCCAGGAGTCCTCAACATCAAAATTATTTGCCAGCCTATGTTGAAAAATAATACAATATTAAAATCCCCATCAAACAATTGTGAGAAATGATGACATCAGTGAAGGTGTCTATTTTAATTTTTAATATAATAAATATCAATAAATACAACCAAAAGCTCTTTTGGGATTCCGCATAATTTTTAAAAGCAGGAAGGGGATCTGAGAAAAAAAAGGTTAAGAAACACAATTATATAGAAATCATACAGTATTTAGAAAATGGAAGTTCACTTCAATTGTACAATGCCTGTAAAGGTGATCAGGTTTCATTTTATATCTGCTTTCTAATAATGTTATGATCATCTTGCAAGCTAACACTTTGAAAGCAAAAACTTCTAGATGGCATATTTCATAAAACTACATCCAGTGACATGCCATACTTATTAACTGAATGCAATCTAAAGAACAATCTACTGAATGAAGTCAGGAAGTGTTCTTGAACTGTGATGACAGTCATTAAGTTTACATACACCCAAACAAAAAGATAGCCATGCTGATTCATCAGAAAAAAATAAGTTAGATAATACCTTTACTAAGACCAATCAAAATGCTACAAAAATTACTCATGCTTTCTTAAAAAGTTGAAACCATAAAAAATATTTTGCAACATTTTGGTTCAGTCTAATAAAGATATTTCCCAATTATGTATTATACTTGAAAGTGTTTTCCATTCCAGAGATTTACAATCATCTGCATGTTCTATAAACTCATTAATTATAATATCCCTGTTTTTGACAACTGTAATATACCATCATAGAATCAGTGGGAGTTAACCAAATAGGTTTGTCTCATCCTTACCAAAATGCTTTATGCTAAAGAAATTTAATCTAAACTATTACTTTATAATTTTACCATGCACAGTCAACATTTATTTCTTACTCATGTTCTCATGTTCAAGCAGTTTTTCTTATGGTTAGTAATACAAGAAATCCTGCCCCTCCCTTATTTATTAGAAGATATATTAAGAAATGTTTAGATATACTTCTTTCTAAAAACTATGTGATTTCTTTTGCATATCAAGAGCAATTCAGGAAAAATAATTTCCTAAGCCAAGCAAATAAGTATTCTATCTTTACAGATTATTATATATAAAAATAAAGTACAGCCAACTAACATAGAGAGCATATTGCTAATAAATATTATTTTAAAAATCCTATCAATGTTGGGAAAGATAAAACACCAAAGCAAGGTCACATTGTTTTATGTTGAGATGAGCAGCAAAACACGTTGCAAGCATGTTTCCAGGAGGCAACAAATTATATATTTAAATAAATACAGAGAGTACAGAATGAACTATGCAGTCTGATCTAATACTTCCTGTTTCTGTTACATAGAAATCCAACTATATTCACTCGTAAGGCTTCCTGGATTGGGATTTACTCATAAAAAGTAGACATAGGATTGCAGCAAGAATGTGTCTTTCTAGCCTTTCCCCATACATATTATATTTTCTTTGAAGCATATTCAGATTACCCCTTGATTGTGCCAGACGAAAGGCCAGAGAACTCATACACCTCAATTTTTCCCATCTTAATTCTCTACACAAAACGCATAAAGGACACAGCATTCCCATGACAAAGAACAACCTTTCCCTAAGCATGAACCTAACATAGCAATGTAAGGTTGTGTAAGAACCTTGTAAGAATGTAAGATGTAACCACTGATGGTTTGGGGGTGTGGATTGGCAGCAGTGGTTTAAATCCTCCTGACAGGCTGACCAATCTTTTCTTAGGAAGGGCTGAGAGAGAAACTAACCATATTTAAAAAAAAAAGGAAGGGGGATTATAATCCGACCCGTCCTTCAGAAAACCCCATCATCTAACCTTATCACCTACAGGAAAACCCTGAACGGCCTGGTCCCGTCACATTCAGCTGCTTATGGCACAGAAGGGGGGGGGTGGAGGGAGGGAAAATCCTTCCTGCATCTGTTGGGAAAGGGGAAAAAACAAAACGTGCAGCGCGGTGCTCCCCACAACTGCCTCTAATCGAATCAAGGTCTGTGCAGGAATAGGCTAAAGATCCCAGATACCGGATCGTTACTAAGGCTGTTTCGGCGGCTACCTCTGGTCGGCCTTTCGCCGCAACGCCCGGGACTATCCCACTATGATTCCTCCTCCTCCTCCTCCCCCCCCCCCGATAAATTGTACCCCTCTTTTCTACCCCCCGCAATCCTGCTCACCGGCATCATTTCCGGCGCTGTCACTCGTGCTAATCAAGACGCCGGTCAGAGGAACGAATGAAAGGGGGGGCAGGGCGACCGCGGACCAGGCCTGGCTGCCGCTCCTTCTGGCTCTCGGGACCGGAATAGAGGCTGGCTTCGAGGACGGTGGCCAAGCTCCGTTGTCCTATTTGCCCCTCTCGGAATGATCTCCTCGTTTTGTTTTGTTTTTTTTCTTCCCGTCCTCACTTCACGGGCGGTGATGACAGCAGCAGCAGTATCAAGAAAGGGCAATGCAAGCCACGGCTGCCGCCGCCGCTGCCGCCTCGTCCTCCTCTTTTCTCCTCAGAGTTTTTTCCTCAGCTCCGCTCTATTCCGCCTCGCCAGGGGTTAACGACGACGCTTCCCTATTGGCCGAGACAGGAGAGAAAAGGGGGAGGGGTTTTCCCACTGCCCTTGGAATGAGCAGGAAAAGGGGAGGAGGCAGAGAGAGGAATGCGAGGCGCGCTGAGTGCGTGCCCGCCTACCTGCTCTTTGGGTCGCACGTGACACAGCCCAGGTTATTATTGCTGGTGCTTTTTAGGATGCCGGAAGGAGCCACCCTTTTAAATGCGCCTGCAAGATTTTCGCCATAGGGGGATGGAGTCTAGTGGATTTTACACGAGCTTTGCGTGCATAGGAGAATCGACCCATTTCCCCCCCCCATTTTCCCGTGGGCGTCCAGTGATGCGTCACTGCAGGATCGCGGAATTCAGCTTCCTTTAGAGATCGTATAGATTCTGAACCAATCTTAAGGCAGCTTTATACTAAAGTCAGTCCCACGGTTCTCAAGTCAGCGTAGGATGTGTTTCTAATTTAACAAAAATATGACGGCATCATCTTTCCCCAGTTTGATACCCTTCAGAAGGACATTAGAAATGCTGTATTCGATCATCTCCTGCCAGATTGGGGAGGTTTAATGTAAATTCTGTACATTTGGAAGGCACCAAGTTGAGAGACGATGGCTTGCGCTTTAATGGTCCCAGTTTGTTCTGAATTTGCTGTGTTCTAGCTGTTTTTCCTGTTTTTCCAATTCTGTCTTGAACTAAATACTTCTGGCATCCTACTAACTTCCTTCCCCTTCTAGTAGGATTTGCTGCTCTGGGCAAAGGCCGCCTACAAATATTTTCCTCGTGTCTTTTTGCATTTACTAGCAGGACCAGCTGTATAGTTGTTAGGGCGGAAAAATCATTTTCATATCTCTTCTCTGCATGCTCCTCTTCTAGAATAGATCATGAGCATAGAAAAAAAGCTATTTGAAGATTAAGCCTCCTGTTATAGATTTATATAGGTTAATAGAGATGAGGGTAAACAACAACTTTGAGAAAAAAATCCCTTTAATCATCTTCAATATCTCCTTATTTTACACATCTCCATTCATTTGTAACAAATACTAAAACCGACTTAATATAAAAGTCTGATTTTTCTTATACTATGTCAAATCGTACTATTTTTAAATGTGGACACACCCTTATTTTCTCTAGAATTCTGCCTCCCTAATTTGCTTTCTGCATTGGGGTTGATAACTATAATTGCAAATATCATAAATCTCTAAATTCATAAGTTGAGATCCGTTCTACTACTGATCAATCATGATTCTAAACATTATCTCTTCCAGTATTTAGCTGAAAGTAAAATCAAGTTTTTCACTAATTGTGTTCACATAACATTTGCATCACACATGAGACTGAACCATAACAAAATTAATTAGATTTCTTCCTAATAAACAGTAGGAATCTGATACAAATGTATTTCTTTTTGTTATACCCCCCTTCCCCCAAACCCTGGCATATCAAAGGCTTCCAAGTGTTTCTACTGTGGTTTCCTTTTTCCGCTGTATTGTATAATTTGTTTGGTTTTTTAGTCCTTGATCTGGGCAATGGCTGGAGTAAAAGCTAAAATCTTGAAGAAAAGTAGATTATGTGGTGAGCAAAAAACCACATGTGAATTACTAAGGCATAGAACCAGACTTCTTTCACAGGCAACATAAAACTTGGCTCTGCATAATAGCACATATGATCATTCCCTAGGAAAATATTTTAATTTTATTAAATAGAATAAAACAGAACAAATAGAAACAGAACAAATGTTTTGAAATAGATGTATCTTGAAATTCAGGAGTCACATGGGGCTCCCCTTATTTTTCTTTAGAAGAGGCCTAAATTTATGGACTTTCAAATATTGACTTGATTCATATTTTCACATATCAGACTTAATCAGTTTCTTAGAATGTGGGTTATTTTAGTAATAATCCACACTCAGCAAATACTGAGTACACCACAGCTAAATGTATTTATCAATTCAATTTTCCAAATCTACGTAGGTCACTTTTAAACTAACCACATTGGGTTGGTTTTCAAAGTAATCTAGTTGAAAATATGATAGGCTCATTTGGGATTCAGTACACTATGCATATAGATAGCACATTCAGAATATTATCTTTAACTTTTAACAAAGGCTCACATATTAAGGATTTACAACTTTGAGGATTAGGGTGCTTTATGATAAGAAGCTCGTTAATCTTTTAAGATACTACATTGTTTCTAACACTAGTGATATTGTTCCAGTCTTAATATTTTGGATTAGAATTTGGATGCTCAGCAAATATTTCTATGGTATAACAGAGGCCTAACTGGTAAAGTTAGTTCATTTTGGCTGTGTTTACATGGCATGGTAAGCCACTACAAAGACTTAGGAAGCTTGTCAATGACATCATGTTACCTTTATAAACGCACTTTATTAGGCAATGATGAAACCTTAACCAAACCACATAATATTGGCCTACTCAACATGCCTATAGCTTATCTTTATTTTATTAGGGCTTCTTATTTTGTCTGAATCCTGTAATGACATTGAGAGTACGCCTTCTTTTCAGCCACCAACAGAGATGCAGAAAATGCCTCCATGTGGCTGCCTTCACTACACCATCTTTTTGTACCCAGTAGAGAGACAATGACAGTTTAAAACCACGTTTCCTAAATAATACAAAAAAAGGGATGCAGCCCAATTTTAATGCCACTGCATAACTGGTAAATATTTCTTCTTTCATATAACCCAGTGTTTCTCAACCTCTGAATTTTAAGCATGTTGGTTGGGAGTTGAAGTCCATAGATAATAGTGCTGAGGTTGAAAAACACTGATCTATACAAACCACAGATGCTATATGGAAGTGCAAATTCTGTGTTGGAAAAAATACATCAACAGGAACTAGAATTCCCATCTGAAATTTTCTAAGGGCCCTCTAAGATCTGTTAACAGTAACTGGCATTGGCTCTAGTTGGATGTTATGTTTACTTGCTGTTAACCAGAGTCTACTCAAATTATTCTAATTTTGTACGTTCGCACAACTCACTGTACATAAATTGATAGATTGGGTTCATAAAACTCTGTATGCTAGAATATGGTTGACTTTTTTTGTGCTTCAGATGTGTGACCACAGCTATAGTGCTATACTGTACATAGATGAAAAATCAAATCCGGTTTCTTTCTGCAGCTTTGCTTAGTCTTAATAGCAGTTTTAAACATATGGTAGAATGACTCGAGCAAGAGTAATTCTTCCTGTCTTCTTCCTCTATGTTACACCCTATGGGCTAAAGGCACAATGTACTTTAAAAGTTGACAGTCCCTTATTACAAGAATTGAGGTATGCAAGGAATGCAGATGGCAGAGACCACACCCCCTCCTTCCGCTTCTCCATCAAGGCAAGGCCCTGGGACAAGGCTTTTCTGAAAGTGAGAGGTTGAGGTAGAGACAGATATTTTAAAACCCACTGGGTTGTATATGGTTTTAATTGAAGGGGGAGAACATAATTTCCTATTATTGTTACTGGAGAATTGGAAAAGGTTTGGAAAAAATATATTCAGCATATTTTAGTTTTTTATTAGTATTTTAAAAAATGAAGAGGAAGTAACATCAAGTCAAATTTATTTGTGATGGTAATTGATTCTGTGATCAGGAAACTTGATAGATAATATTTAAAAGCTGTTCACTTAATCATGCTTTACTGAATTAGACCAATTTTCTAGGCTTACCTGAAATAAAGAGCTGTAATTTAACATGGGTTGTCACAAAGAACATTTTAAGCTAAGATGTAGTTGGCTACTATACATTTTGGAAAATTATAGAAAGTAAAATATTAAGTGAAAATATATTTATTTTTGCAAACTATTTAACAAAAATACTCTTTCTCTGCCCAACCCACCTCACAGGGTTGTTTGAGAAAAACAGAAAGAAGGAGTATTAGATATGTTCACTGCATTGAGCTGTTTATACAAATCATAAAGGCAGGATATAAATAAAACAAATACACTCTGCTCTACATTACATAACCAGAGAAGAGAGCTTAAAATGTATATTACCCATATTTCTCCTGTTGTGATGCTTTAGAGAATTTTTCTTTTTCTCTGCAGCTCGTGCCTGATTTTCAAAATCTATCTTTCTTTGCTACCTTCCTCTGCCACACCACATTTGGTCCTGTTGTATTCAATTCAAGGACTAATTGTGCTGACAAATGGACAGAATCATGACCTGCTTAGTGTGAGTTCTGTCGAAGTTCTAGCACATTGGAAAGAATAAAAATAAAAATCCTTGGATTTTTAAGTGTGAAATCTAATGAACCTTTTGGCAATGATGAGATGTAACCTTGACATCACAACAGCTTTGTGTCAATTTGTTCTTGTCTCTTTCCCCTGCCAGCCTATGAATATTAATTAGTTATATGAGAGTTTGAGCCTTACTTCTAAAGTAGCCTGTGTTTCACCTCCTGCTTCTTCTTAGGGGAAACCTGTTCAGCTTCTTTGTGGCAGAAATTGCATATACCTAACTCTGACTGGCTAAAGTTGATGACATCTCAGCCCTTCCCAGTACTGCTTATCAATTATTAACCTCATTATATTTTTAGATGTATTCTTATATATGCCAACTCAGCTGTTTGCACAACATTCTAATCCCGTGTTTCTCAACATTGGCAACATTAAGATATATGGACTTCAACTCCTAAAACTTTCCAGCCAGCCATGGTAGCTGGGGAATTCTGGAAGTTGAAGTCTTGACATCTTCAAGTTGTCAAGGTTGAGAAACACTGCTCTCATCTATTGCTTGACAATGACATCCTCAGTTAACTGCGTATACTCAACCTCCAGAACCTTTAATTAAGCACACAGATTGAGTTTACGTTAGATGTGGTCCATCATGTGACATTCAAGGTATCATCTCAGAGTGTACCTGGTATTTACTAGGCTCTTGAATTTTATATGCATGTATTTTAAATGGGAAGCTGCAAAGTATCAACATATTTTTTTACAGAATGCCTCTGGCAATCAAATGGACTCTATAAACATTTTTAGAAAATGTAAATGG